CCTCACCACTGCACTCCAGCCTAGATGACAAAGAGAAACTTCTCAAAAAATTAAATAAAAAATGAACTAATAACCATTACATACCCTGCCCCATCTCCAGAGTTTCTGAACCTGTATACACTCTTCCTCATCTTCACTGTCCTTACCCATTTAAACACTGCTGGTAGAATGATCCAGTCATCCTTCAAAAATGCAATTGTGTTAGTACAACCTGTCTGTTTAGCCTTTCAGTGGGTCCACAGAACCTTCAGGATAAAGTCCAGACTCCTCTCAAAAGCTGTCACCTTGGGTTCTCGCCCACAGCTTCCACCTCATCTGCTGCCACTCCCTGTGAGCACCCTGCACTCAACCCTTATCAAATGGTAGTACTTGCTGTTCCTGGAACACGCCTTCTTTCCTAGCCTTAGTGTTCTCTTTTCTGTGGATATCCTCTGTGATACCTCTCCACTTGGCAGTCACTTTGTTCAAAAAGCCTCTGCTGACTTCTCTAGGCAATTAGGCATTTCTGTCAGAGGTGCTGGAACCAGAGCAACTCCATCTTGAATGGAGGCTGAGACCTACTGGGCTGCATTGTCAGGAGGTTAAGGGTTTCTTTTTTTTTTTGAGACGGAGTTTCACTCTTGTTACCCAGGCTGGAGTGCAATGGCGCGATCTCAGCTCACCGCAACCTCCGCCTCCTGGGTTCAGGCGATTCTCTTGCTTCAGCCTCCTGAGTAGCTGGGATTACAGGCACGCGCCACCATGCCCAGCTAATTTTTTTGTATTTTTAGTAGAGACGGGGTTTCACCATGTTGACCAGGATGGTCTCGATCTCTTGACCTCGTGATCCACCCGCCTCGGCCTCCCAAAGTGCTGGGATTACAGGCTTGAGCCACCGTGTCCGGCCCGGTTAAGGGTTTCTAACACAGGATGAGATAGGAGGTCGGCACAAGATATAGATCAGCTGATGAAAGAGGATTTGATAAAGAAACCAGCCAGCCGAGTTCTTTGGCTCACGCCTGTAATCCCAATACTTTGGGAGGCCGAGGTGGACAGATCACAAGGTCAGGAGTTTGAGACCAGCCTGGCCAACATAATGAAACCACATCTCTACTAAAAAGATACAAATTTAGTTGAATGTGGTGGCACGTGCCTGTAGTCCCCGCTACTCAGGAGACTGAGGCAGGAGAATCGCTTGACCCCAGGAGGCAGAGGATGGGATGAGCCAAGATGGCGCCTTTGCACTCCAGCCTGGGTGGCAGAGGGAGATTCCATCTTAAAAAAAAAAAAAAAAAAAAAAAAAAAAAAGAAAGAAAAGAGAAAAAAAGAAACTAGCCAAAACCCACCACAGCCAAGACAGTGATGAAGGTGACCTCTGGTTGTCCTCACTGCTCATAGTGTACTACACTATAATTATAATTCATTAGCATGATAAAAGACACTCCCATCAATATCGTGATAGGTTTTTTTTGTTTGTTTTTTTTTTTTGAGGCAGAGTTTCGCTCTTGTTACCCAGGCTGGAGTGCAATGGTGTGATCTCAGCTTACCACAACCTCTGCCTCCTGGGTTCAGGCAATTCTCCTGCCTCAGCCTCCTGGGTAGCTGGGATTATAGGCACTCGCCACCATGCCCAGCTAATTTTTTGTATTTTTAGTAGAGACGGAGTTTCACCATGTTGACCAGGATGGTCTCGATCTCTTGACCTGGTGATCCACCCACCTCGGCCTCCCAAAGTGCTGAGATTAGAGGCTTGAGCCACCGCACCCAGCAGGTTTTTTTTTTTTTTTTTTTTTGAGACAGAGTTTTGCTCTTGTTGCCCAGACTAGTGTGCAAAGGTGCAGTCTTGGCTCACTGCAACCTCCACCTGCCAAGTAGCAATTCTCCTGCCCCAGCCTCCAAAGTAGCTAAAATTACAGGCATGCATCACCACACCTGGCTAATTTTTTTTTTTTTTTTTGTACTATTAGAGCTGGGGTTTTTCGATGTTGGTCAGGCTGGTCTCGAACTCTCGACCTCAGGTGATCCACCCGCCTTGGCCTCCCAGAGTGTTGGGATTACAGGCCTGTGCTACCGCACTGGGCCTCCCCAATATTTTATTATGAAATTCTCCAAATATTTGGGGGGAAAATAATTGTAAGTGAACACTCATGCCGGGACTCGGAAACTGATACCCCAAAATATGGTGAATGAACTGAATGAACTGAAGCCTCCAGGTCTCTCTGACCTCACTGTCCTGTACCATCTCTCCCAAAGCACAAGATGAAGATGAAGCTCCTTTATCTGGCTACAATCCAGACTCACCAAAAGGCAACTTTTTTTTCCTCCCCTCCCTGTAAGACCAAAAACATAATCACCTGAACAGACCCTTTGGTGCAAGTTCATCACTGTGCCCTGATCCGTCCACTTTCCCCCAGTTATCCCCTCAACAGAATGCCTCAGCTCCCCTCTCCCCAAGTCTGTTTGCCAGGATGATAGACAAGCTTCTGAACCCCGTTGTGGGTGGGAAATCACCGTGTGATTCTCCCTGCGCACACGTTAATGAATGTACGTGACTTTTCTCCTCCCATTAATCTGCCTTTTGTGAGTTGCTTTTTCAGCGAACTTCAGAAGACAAAGGGAACATTTTTCCCATAGTCCCTATACCCATAGATACCCACCACCTAGATTCAAAGTCAGCATTGCTATATTTGCAAAAAACTTTTTATAGGCTAATTTTATTATCACCTTTTTAAAAAATGTTCTTTTTGCAACTACTGCTCCTTGTGGAGCAGGGCTACCCCATGGGCAGTGTGCCCAGAGTAGCTTCTTAGCGTCTTTTCTTTTATTTTTTATTTATTTATTTATTTATTTATTTATTTTTGAGACGGAGTTTCTCTGTGTCCCAGGCTGGAGTGCAGTGGCACAATCTCGGCTAGCTGTAACCTCTGCCTCCCAGGTTCAAGCGATTTTCCTGTCTCAGCATCCTAAGAGTAGCTAGGATTACAGGCGGGTGCCACCACATCCGGCTAAGTTTTTTTGTATTTTTAGTAGAGACGGGTTTTCATCTCGTTAGTCAGGCTGATCTCCAACTCCTGACCTCATAATCTGCCCCCCTCGGCCTCCCAAAGTGCTGGGATTACAGGCACGAGCCGCCCCGCCCGGCCACAATATTATCACCTTTTATTTCACCTAATGACTAAGGTATGATTCTATGTTTTATAGATAAAGAAACTGAAACTGAGGCTTTAATGACTTCCAAGAAGCTTGTCTGCCAGAAGTTATAATCAACTTGTGCCAGCTGTTCTGTCCATACCCTCCAGGTGTTAGATAACCTAAGTCTGAAAAATATTTAGAGTATTCTTGTGATGAAAGGCTTGCAATTCCACAACACAGGGGAATCAGCAAAATAATGGGAAAATCAATACTTTTTTTTTTTTTTTTTTTTTTTGAGACGGAGTCTTGCTCTGTCGCCAGGCTGGAGGCTCACTGCAACCTCTGCCTCCTGGGTTCGAGCGATTCTTTCGCCTCAGCCTCCCGAGTAGCTGGGACTACAGGCGCGTGCCACCATGCCCGGCTAATATTTGTATTTTTAGTAGAGACGGGGTTTCACCATGTTGGCCAGGATGGTCTCGATCTCTTGACCTGATGATCCTCCCGCCTCGGCCTTCCAAAGTGCTGGGATTACAGGCGTGAGCCACCGCGCCCAGCCAGAATACATTTTTTATTTATTTTATTTTTATTTTATTTTTTTTTTTTGAGATGGAGTTTAACTCTTGTTATCCAGGCTGGAGTGCAATGGCGCGATCTCGGCTCACCGCAACCTCCGTCTCCCGGGTTCAAGCAATTCTCCTGCCTCAGCCTCCCGAGTAGCTGGGACTACAGGCGTGCACCACCATGCCCAGCTAATTTTTGTATTTTTAGTAGAGTCGGGGTTTCACCATGTTGACCAGGATGGTCTCGATCTCTTGACCTCGTGATCCACTTGCCTTGGCCTCCCAAAGTGCTGGGATTACAGGCTTGAGCCACCGCGCCCGGCCAGAATACATTTTTAACTCATGAGTCGTTCAGAGAAGAATCCAGTCTTGGGTTTATCCTTCCCGCTCATCCCATTTCCATTCCTAATTAGTCATCATTTCCTGACCAGCCTATCTGGTATGTTTCTTCCATCCATTATTTTCCAGTAACAGTAACCCGGTGCAGGTCTACAATATCTCTTGCTTCACCTGATTTCCTTTCTGCCTTTTCATGAACCAGAGACATGTGATTTCCAATTAAAGCACAGCCCTGACCATATCATTGTCCAGTTTACAAAACGTCAGCGGCTCGCAGCTATCTACTGAATTAAGCCTAGTATAATCCGCTTCCTTCTACAACATATCTACGCATCTGTTCTCTTATTCCTTAGCTTCCAGGACTGAGTTGTTTCCCCGCATACACACTCATTTACTTTTTTCATTTATAACTCACCACCACCCCCTCCAAAGTTTCACTGGGGTAAATTCTAGAGCTTCACGTCATAGGCCAAGTCAAATGCCAATCCTTCTAACGAAGCTTCTAGAGATCCCGGGCATGTTGTCATCTATGTCGCCAATCTCTGGCATGTTGTGGTACTGATCTCAGTCTACCTTGTAGAGCTTTCTGATTTCCCTTGCCACCTTCTACCCCCTTTGCCTGAGTATAACATCTTTTGCTGTATCCACACAAACCTGCGCAGGCACACACGAACGCCGTCTGCCACTCAGACAGACACGTGTCCCCGGGGCCACAGCCCTGTAACTGTCTCGGGATTCCCAGCCGGTGGGCGCTTCCATGCCGGTCAGCCGAAGGGGACTCTTGTTATTTCAGAACCGCTTCAACGGATACCTCTTTCTTTAGACCGCTTAGGGTTTCTATTCCATAGATCAGCCTAAGTTTCCCTTCCTTTTAAAATAGGATTACCCCGGGTCGAGGGAGCCCGGCGTGGCCGTGCGGTAGCTGGGTCCCGCGGATCCCCCTCCAGCTCCCGCTTGGTAGCGCCCGCTTTGTCAGCGCGCAGCGCTTGCCTAGCGCCCTGCAGCTCTCGCCAGGTCTCACCGCAGACTGTGCAGACGCAGCGCTCGTGCGCCTCCCTCTCGGGCTCGGCTGCCCGGGATTTCCCCAGGACCTGCGCGGCGCGAGAAGGAGGCTGGGAGCATCCGCCCAGACTGCCCGGACTGTCGGCTCGACTCGCCGCCTTTGGCCCCCAGCCGGCCTCCGCTCCTCGGGCGCTCGAGGGGCCGCGGTGGTGGCAGTGGCACCCGGCATGTTTCAGAGCCCGCGGCGGCTTTGCTCGGCCCTGCTGCAGAGGGACGCGCCCGGCCTGCGCCGCCTGCCCGCTCCCGGGCTGCGCCGCCCGTCTTCCCCGCCGGCGGCTGCCCCTAGGCCCGCATCCCCCCGGCTGCTGGCGGCGGCCTCGGCGGCCTCCGGCGCCGTAAGGTCGTGTTCCCGAACAGGTGAGTGCACCGCGGTTCCGGGCGGAGAACGCCACCGCCACCAACGCTTGGCCGCCACCTGGAGACAGCGCGGAATGAATGGGAAGCCCCGGGCTGCCGGTCGTGGGGTCTGGCCTGGAAGTGGGTCCTTTCCCGGAGCAACCTTCTCTGTTCCCGTTTTCCTCTTTCCCTGTCCCCAGACTTGCCTGGGGCTTGTATCAAGACTGGTAAGAACTGGGAGACTGGATTCAGGTTCCTGCTTAACCCTTGGAGGCCGTGGTTTGAGGATTTCTTGCTCTTGACCTACGTTAAATTTCCCCCTTCCGAGGCCGCGAGTTACTGTGTTGGTTGCACTTTTTATTGCAGTACTTAACGGAAATTTTTATGGAAAAAAAAAAATCTAAATGATGTTTGTTTGCTCATGGCTTGCGTGGTCTAGATATTATATTTTTTAAGTCGTGATAATAACACGTTGATTAGTTTTACGTTTCTTTGCTTTTTTTTTTTTTTTTTTTTTTTTGGAGCCTTCCACTCGATACTTAACATCATTTTGCCCTGTGTACCTAAGATCTTGTAAAAGTGTGGCCTTCGTTTCTCCAAGAGCTGTTTTTGTACGTCATAGTGACTACCCTAAGTTTTCCTTTTTTGCCTCCTCGGTTTCTGCCTGGGCACACGTTACCATGGCCACAGATTAATTGTACTTTTAAAATTGATAAATTTTTTTCTTTCAAACTGGCAATTCATAACACGTTTTTAAATTTAATTTTATTGATTTTTATTTGTTTTTATTTATTTATTTATTTTGAGACGGAGTCTGTCGCTTAGGCTGGAGTGCAGTGGTGAGTCTCGACTCACTGCAACCTCCGCCTCTTGGGTTCAAGTGATTCTCCTGCCTTAGCCTCCCTAATAGCTGGGACTACAGTCACCCCGCATCATGCACGGCTAATTTTTTGTATTTTTAGTAGAGACGGGGTTTCACTATGTTGACCAGGCTGGTCTCGAACTCCTAACCTCGAGATCTGCCCGCCTCCGCCTCCCAAAGTGCTGGGATTACAGGCGTGAGCCACCGCGCCCTGACCTAACACATTTTTTAAGGTGTATTTTGGTTGCCTTCGAGCTGCCAGATAATTGCTATTTAAGACATTTGTATATCCATTCCAGACTATATGTAACTACATTTTGCTAGTAAAGTTTTGGATTAATTTAAGAAAGACAAATTGAGCAATAGAAAGAATAGGGTCAATGTAGCTTTCCTTAATTAACAGAAGTGGTTGCCTAAGCACAGATGCTCACACCTGTAAATCCCAACATTTTGGGAAGCTGAGGCAGGAGGTTGCTTAAACCCAAGAGTTGTAGACCAGCCTGGGCAATAGAGTGAGACCCAGTTGCTATAAAATTTTAAAAATAGGCCTGGTGTGGGAATACAGTTAGCTTGTGTAAAACAGATAGAGATTGCTGTGTTATCTGAGTAATAAATATCAGGTCAGATTGGAATGTTGGGCTTTTGATCCAAGAAAGTATTTAATAAACTTCTTTTAAGAAATCCTCTGAAACCCCCTAGTTTTACAGATAAGGAAGTTGAAGGACTTTATGGTACTTAAACTTTTGTAGGCAGTTACTAAATTTTCCTGTTTCATGCAGTTTTAGCTTCAGCAGCTTGTTGGAAGAAACACGTGCATGCATTGATTCATTCATTGCTTGTTCACTCATTCCAGATCTTTACAGAATGTCTCACACAACGTGGCTTTATTATAGGAGGCAAAAGGAACATGAGCTTTAGTCAGTCCCTAAGGATTTTACTGCCCAGTAAGAGATGAGATTTGCACAAAGAAATGGCTGTTTAATGAAATGAAACATCTTTTATTCTCTCGGCTTGCAAACGGCACAAGGGTACAGGAAAGCAGGAAGTCCCTTTTAGACTTCTAGAAGTGGGTGGCATTTCAGCTGGATCTTGAAGCATGGTTAGGACTGGAAGAGATTAAAGCATTTTGTTTAGGAAAAGCAGGAGTAAATGTGAAAAGGCATGGGACACAGATGAGAAGGGTAAGTGCTCTTTAATTCTTTTTTTTTTTTTTTGAAACAAGATCTCTCACACTGTCACCCAGGCTGGAGTGCAATGGTGCCATCTCTGCCCACTGCAGCCTCTACCTCCTAGGCTCAAGCAATTCTCCTGTCTCAGCCTCCCGAGTAGCTGTGACTACAGGCACACCACTGTGCCTGGCTAATTTTGTATTTTTAGTAGAGACAGGATTTCAATATGTTGCCCAGGCCCAGCTTGAACTTTTCAGCTCAGGTGATTCACCTGCCTTGGCTTCCCAAATTTCTGGGATTATAGGCATGAACCATTGGCACGAACCAGCCTATGAAGAGCTTTTTAAAAATGCAGATTCTGGGACCTGCGGTGGCTCAGGCCAATTGTCCTGGTGCTTGAGAGGCGAGGCTGTGTGTTCAAGGCCAGCCGGGGCAATATAAAAAGCTTTCATTGATTTAAAAAAATATTTTAAAAATAATAAAAATTAAAATGCAGATTAGTGGATCCGACTGTAGACTTATTAAGTCTGAGTCATTTATGCTGTGCCTTGGATTCCACATAACTAAGTGAAATGACAAAATAATAAACTCAAGTTTGTTTATCTATACCCCCAAATTTGGACATCTGGCACCTATATGTGAGAGAGAGACATTGAAGGGGCTGAAAGCTCCTCTCCCATCCAGAGCTTTGTATTAGTGAGTAGTGAGTCCCAACACCTGTCCGCATTTGCTGATCAGTTCCCACATAACTTATGCCTCTTGACAATTGGTGGTTATTTGGAAGATAAGTACACTCCCTTTGGAGTTATCAAATTCCAGATTGTTAGAATTAAAAGGTAACCTTGGGGATGATCTCGGTGTTTGGCTTCCTTTTCTCAAGCAAGGATAGCATCTCCCATAAGAGGTAGCAGTTGCCACAGTTACTGTACTGGATGAAATGCAGTTGGAAGTCATCTGTGGGTTTATAAATGCTATCCTCCACATCCCTCCTCCTCAGAGAATGAAGAGTTGGCTGAACTGTTCTCCACCATTAGAACATTTGCTTTTTTCATGGTACAATTTTAAAGGCAAATGCCACCAGCTTATTTGAGAAGGCAGCTTTATTTAATATGTCCTTTAACTATGCGAGTAAACTGCTTATGAGAGAAGAAATGGGAAAGCTTGTAATTATCAAGCTGCTATGGACTAAATTGCTTTCCTGTGGGAAAACTAATGTATGGTTTTTCTGTAGCATTCAATGGCAACAGTTTAAATGTGGTGAAGGGGGCTGAGGGAGTGCCTCTGGAGTTAATAACCATGGCTCCAGATTCACATTCCACATACTTCCATTATTAACCTTTGCAAATCATTTAACCTTGCTTGCTGTCTCAACACTAGACTTTTATCTAGAACAAATAAATAAGATTAATTGATAGCAATTTATCCACAAGCTTTATTGAACAGTACATGAAAAGGTGACATGACTAATTGCAGCTGGAGTTGAGAAGAAAGAGAAATCAGTGTGGCTGTATCTGTCAAGAAACAGTTTGCTTTGAATAGGTGAAAAAGGAGGATGCTTTCGAAGGGGACAGATTGTGTGTGGTGGGGGACAGGCAGGAAGACCACACACACACACACACACACACAAACACATACACACAATGCCTGGAAGAAGGTGGTGCATGCAGGAGCAGGGGCAAGCATCTTAGGAAGAGAGGTGCAGGCAGAATCTTCTTGGACTCTTGTTAAAATGCAGATTTCTGGTCTTTCATCCTTCTGCTTGAGTCAGATTTCTCCAGAGGAGAAATCTGGTGAAGTGAATATTTAACAAGTGCCCCAGGGGATTCCTTCCAAAAAGCTTAGGGTGTATTTAGTGTATTTATGAGCTCTGCCCCTCCTTTTCCCAGAGGTACTTATTCCTGGAAAGCTTGAGAAGCTCTAGAGAGGATTCTGGAAGAGCCTTAAGATCTTCTTTGGCCTGAAGTGGTGGTTCATGCCTGTAATCTCAGTACTTTGGGAGGCCGAGGCGCAGATCACTTGAACTCAGGAGTTCAAGACCAGCCTGGGCAACATGGTGAAACCCTGTCCACACACACACAAAATAGCCAAGTATGGTTGTGCACACCTGTACATCCCAGCTGCTTGCGAAGCTAAGGCAGGAGAATCACTTGAACCCGGGAGGCAGAGGCATCAGTGAGCTGAGATCATGCCACTGCTCTCTAGCCTGGCGACAGAGTAGGAACAAGACTCTGGCAGTGGCTTGCCTGCAATCCCAACACTTTGGGAGGCCAAGGCAGGTGGATCACAAGGCCAACATTGCCAACATGGTGAAACCCCGTCTTTACTAAAATACAAAACTTAGCTGTGCGTGGTGGTGCGCCCCTGTAGGCCCAGCTACTCGGGAGGCTGAGGCAGGAGAATTGCTTGAACCTGGGAGGTGGAGGTTGCAGTGAGCCGAGATTGCTCCACTGCATTCCAGCCTGGTGAAAGAGCAAGACTCCGCCTCAAAAAAAGAAGAAGAAGAATCTTTGACCTTGGGGCCTAAGGCAATTCAGGAGACCCCTGAGCATGAACATTGGCCTCAACAAAAGCAGCTTAAAAAAAAAAAATAGCATTTTTTCCATAGAGATGGGCTTTGCCACGTTGCCCAAGCTGGTCTTGAAATCCTGGGCTCAAGCAGTGCTCCGGCCTCAGCCTCCCTAAAGTGCTGGGTTTACAGACTTGACCCAGCCAAAAACAGCTTTTAAGAAAGGAAAGAAATTCCCGGGCAGGCACGATGGCTCACACCTGTAATCCCAGCACTTTGGGAGGCCGAGGCACGCAGATCACAGGGTCAGGAGTTCTAGACCAGCCTGGCCAACATGGAGAAACCCCGTCTCTACTAAAAAAACAAGATTAGCCAGGCATGGTGGCGCATGCCTGCAATCCCTGCTACTCTTGAGGAGGCTAAGACAGGAGAATCTCTTGAATCCAGGAGACAGGGTGCAGTGGGCTGAGATCGCACCACTGCA